GGTCTTGTCCCAACACCAAACCCCTTTCTCTTACCATATCTCAATGTAATGGACTGATATGTGAAAAATCTATTTTAAAAGATACACAAACACCTGTTTTTAATTACATGTTTAATAGCAAATATTTGAGTTTTGTCCTAGAAGGGATGAGTTCTGTTTGCAGTTCTGTCTTTGATTGTGCACTGAGCCATGCTTTGTATGTTTTGGGTCTATCCTAATGACCCTTGGCTGTTTATCTGAAACTCATGAGAGCCATGACATTGTTTAATTAACCCTGTGATTTCTCCCATTGTGGGCTTGGAATAGGCTGAATAAGGTATTTTAATGCTCATTGCTATTTCCTGCCATATGACAGAAAGATGGTAATTATCAACCAGTACGCCTCATGAAGAATATATAAAAGGGTCAGAAAAAGTCTGGATGAAGATTGGGAAGGAAAGAGAATTCCTAATCCTCTTCAAAATTTTGCCAGAAAGGATAAAGGTGGAACTCGTGTTTTGACTGTGTTCTCTCAATAAAATTCTAACTCCTAGACTGGCAAATAATAAAAGATGGTGCTATAACTTGATGGAGGAGTCAGGAGTAAATGATAAATTAGCTGGCTCAGTCCAAGACTTGGTACCTCATAGCAAGCAGATTGGAAATGTCTCCACACTTGCTAATAATAGCCATACTGGAGTTAAAGTAAGCCTTGAGTCATCACCCTCCCTCTACCCAAATTCTCCTTCCAGATATTTTGATATTCTTCGACACTACAACCTCTCTGAGCAATTTAGTGCTGCCTTGCTACATCCAATTAAGTATTGAATAACTGATTTGTTATGTATTAGTGGAATACTCCCTGGGACTCTTAATATATTTTAAAGTATACTCAGATTTCTTGTGAGATAAGAACCTTCTATTAGCTTGCCACAGCAAAAGTTCTCTGCTTCTGGAACTCACTCCCCATCTCTAAAATTCCTTTTTAGTTCTAGTATCCAAACTCCTTAGCAGCTTTTTTCCCTTTTTAAAATTCTGTGTTATCCTAATATTTAAATTTTGTGATAGTCCCCTTTTCTAATAACAACTAAATAGGATTTCTTTGGTTTCTCCAAAGAAAGTTAGCAACATGAGGAAAGAGCTTTGGGATTGTGTGAACCCAAATTCCTACTTCACAACCCACTAGATAGGTGATTTTCAACAGGTGTGCTGCAAGAATTTTTAAAACATGCAATACTTGACTACTTAGGGGCACTGAGCTCTTTTCCCCTAGATTATCAAATTAAAAAAAAAAAAGACAACAGCCAACACAACAATAGCTGTGTAGTGTGAATGAATCAAAATTATACCCATGTTTTTGGCAGATTAGCAAAAAATATATTTTTGGCATGCCACACAATTTTTGTAATTAGTTTATGTGCGCTAGGAGATGAAGAAGGTTAAAAATCACTGCATTGGACTTATGATATTGGGCATACTACTTAACCTCTCTTTGTTTGTGTTTTTTTTTACCTATAAAATAGAGTTATCAATAGTTACCATACATGATTATTGTGAGAATTACATGAGAAACTAAATGTAAAACTGTTTACCCAGTTCCAGCTTATTGTAGATGCTCTGCTCAAAGAATGTTGAGTTTAATTGCCATTTGTTATGGTTTAAATTGCATTTCTCCAGAATTCATATGTTATAGTCCTAACCCCAGTAGGTTTGGCTTCATTTTCTCCAAGCCTAGTCAGTTTAGCAAATCTTTGTGTGAAGTGCAAAAGATGTACATACTTTGTATATTTATCTGATTATTGTTAGAATGTGAAAAAGCAGCTTCTATTAGCTTCACTACTGGCTTGAATCCAAGATCACAGTCCCTTAAAGTGAGGTGTAATACATCTTTTACATATATCTTAAAAATCTTCCCAGTGTATTAGACTTGTTTGAATAATCTCATGATTTTGCTTCAAGGCCCAAGCTTAGACTATTTTTTCTTTCTTGCAGTTCTTCATACTTGTAATTTTAAGAAGATGTCATGGCTTATCAGAACCCCTCTCCATAAGGTATTCTTCTAGTTTGCAGTAAAATTATCCAAGTTCTCCACTACTGTTATCTGACCCAATTCTAAAGTCCCCTATATTATTTATCAGTTATATTTCATGCTCTAGTCTCATACCCTTTACTAGATGGTTTACACCTTCTCTTTAATTTATTAAGAATGGAATTTGCTTCCATAGATATTTCAGTGTGCTTCTCTCACCTAACAAAATTTTTAGGCTATAATTGTTTATCCTGTCCCCAGAGGACACAAAATGCACTCTGTTTTTTGCTTATTTGTATTCTTTTGCTTATAGTTTTTTTTTTTAGATTTTATTTATTTTAGAGAGATGGGGAAGGGAGGGAGAAAGAGAGAAAGTGAAACATCAATGTGTGGTTGCCTGTAGCATACCCCATACTGGGGATATGGCCTGCAGCCCAGGCATGTGCCCTGACTGGGAATCAAACCGGTGATGCTTTGGTTCACAGGCCTGGGCTCAAGCCACTGAGCTACACCAGCCAGGGCTGTGCTTACAGTTTTTGAACTGGCACCACAATATTCTCTGTCCACAGGTTTTCTCACTCTATGAGATTGAAATTATGTTAAGGTTTTTACTTGCTATCATTTATTCAAATTAATTTTACTGGGTGATTACTATATATAAGGCACTCTGCTATTCAATATCTATTGTAGAGGAATGAAGATATTTAAAATAGTTCCAAAGAGTCCATAGTGTCAGCATTCTAATCATATTTTATATTTGGGCTTCATATATTTGTTTATAAACACATATATCCTGACTTGGCTTTTTCTTTTATTCTTATTTGCTGTCCCATCTGAAAGGATATCTACTGTCACTTCCTTCTGAGGTCAAGTAAGCCAATGAATTCCCTTCGGGAATTTTTGTTCATCTGTTTTGTGTACTAGTACTTTTAAATTCTCAGTTCTCCCCCCAGTTTTAGAATAAAAATCACTACCTACTTTGCTAAAATACTGCAGTGTTAACGATGGGTGGTTTAACGGATTTTCTTGCAAGAATTACATCTCACTTTGCTGAATCAGGATATCTGTGGGGTTTTTTTTTTTGTTTACTTGTTTGTTTGTTTTCACTCTCATAAAAAAAACAAACCACCACTTGGTATAGATTTGTTTTTTATTACTTGAAAATTAAAGAGTTTCCAACAGACTTTCTGATGAAGGGAAAGAAGATATTTAAATCCATTATTTTAGACAATAATGCCTACTTCTCAAAGAGTCAGAGCAACCCTGTCCCCTCCCAACATCAGCCATTTAAAGAAAACCAGACATAAAAATGAGGAAAACAAACTCTTTAGCCTTACTTTGCACCCATGCTTGGAGGTGAAATGGGCCAGAAAGAAGAAAACGGAAAAAATGTAAAAAAAAATAGTAAAGACAAAGATACATTTTGTTAGGAATCCAATATAGAATTTGGAACCCTCCCCAAAATCTAGTTAACATCAGATGTAACATTTGTTTCTGCCCTTACTTTTACCCCGCCCAAACAGGATATTGGTACTGTCTCATAAATCTTTTACTAATAACGGGTAAACCAACTATTAACTTTTTAAGTGCCTATTCTATGTGAAGCATTGTCCTAGCTGCTAAACAAGATAGGATAAATATAAAATTCTACACCCACTTTCAAAAGTTTTATTGTTGCAACCTGAGACTATTAGGCAGTATTGGGGGTCTTTGGGAGGTTTCAAAAGGACATTAAGCACTGAAAAATTCAAAAGGAGAAGGTAAGCATTGAGCTGAGGATCTGAAAAATTGGGCTTTATTCTGTCTTTGCCATTTCCTTAATATGTGACCTTGAGCAACTAATTTCTTTCAGGTCTCCCTCCCTCCACTCTCTACCTCCTTTACACACACACACACACACACACACACACACACAAAGAAGACGTCATTTTAGATTTTTTTTAAATGTAAGAATATTTGGGATGATTACTAATGAGTTCCGTTGTGTCGCCCACATTGAAGTCTAAAGCAGCTATGGCCCAATGAGATGACCTTCATTTTTACAGACTAAGTAATCAGGTACTAATTTTTCCCAATTCAGTAGAGCATCAGGGCTTAGAACCGAATCTTTCTATTCTGATTTTGTTTAAAAAAAATTCCTGCAACAATAATGCATCTTTCAGTGATTATTGTGACTCAGGAAAAACTTAAAATATGTTCTTGACACCGTCTACTGGAGAGAAATGCTTTTTTAATCTTTGAATGTATATGTGAAATGGGGGAGGGGTAATTCTGCATATTAGAGAGAACACGGTGGATAATTAATTATTTAATACCTCTAGAGCTATGTAGTATATCCCAAAATTCTATTGAAATACTATTCCCTCTGGCCCAGGTGACCCGTTAAGCCATTATGCAAGTAGCAGGGCAGCGAGGGGAGCCTAATAGATGCACCTGGAGAGCGGGAAAAGGCTCACAGAGGTGACAAATTGCAAAACACTTGCCAATTCACAAAATTGTCCAGAGCCATACCTAAGGAAAACCCTCCGAAACCCTCGAACTCAAGAACCCAAGTTCTTTCGCTACCAGGCATTCTATTGATTTACACTTGCGTCCTTCAACAGGTAGCGCCAATTACAACCCCTACAGCACTGCCGCCCAGCATACTGGCTAATATCTCTGTCAATCAAATACTCCAGCTACCTTTCTAAATTCTCTCCTCCCCTTTTCATGGACTTTTCCTTCGGCCTATCCCCAAATTTCTTCCGCGTTTTGCAACAGTGGAACGTGACCCTATCGAGCCTAGGATTGGAGAGGAAGCTACTCCCGCCCTTTGATGTCCGGGAGCGCTCCTCCCCTTTCAGTGCTCTGGACCGTCTGGGCAGGAGGGGGCGGGGGAACCGAGGGGGCGGTTTGGAGGCAGGGCTTGCCTCCCACGGCGGGAGGGCGGAGCCTGTGGTGGAGCCTGTGGTGGAGCTAGTCTGCTCGGTTAGGACCTCGGAGAGCGCCGGGCGTCAAGACGAAAAGCACTGGATAAGCAGCTGGAGCCGGGTCGAACTAACGCCTGCGAGCCCGCCTCCCTCCGCACCCTGAGCTTCCCCGGCTGACAGGCAGCTAGCGGCGGCTGTGGAAGGTGCTTATGTCTGGAGTCAGATAGCCATTCCTCTGGGAAGCGGACGCCACCGTCCAGCCGCCGCTCCCTCACACCTGTGTGTGCGCGTCTGTGAGCGAGAGCGCCCGCGCGTGATGTCTGCGCGGCGGCGATGTCTGTGTTCGCACGTCCCCGAGAGAGAATCCAGCGCCTCCGTGCTCAGCCCGGGGAGGGACCGCGGGAGCCAGCTGGCAGAGGCAGGACTCGGGCCGCAGCCCTCGCAGCCACTGCTTCACGTCCCGCAAGAGCCACTGCTGGGCTGCGGGAAGAGGGAACTGGCGGGCGACCTCGGCGCGGCCGCAGGCAGAGCCGGGCGGAAGGCGGCCGGAGACGCGGGAAGGGGAGGGGGGGGTAGCGGAGGGTGAGGTGGAGGGAGAAGCGGGGGGCAGCTGGCTGCGCCGCTCGTCCCTCCCATTAGCTGTTGCTGTAGGTCAGCCGCAGATGCTTTGGGGTCCGGGTTGTTGGAGGTAGGGAATGGAAAAAGCGTCCCCCCATTTCCAACTGAGCAAAAGAGAGCGTTGACGACGATGGGGTTATAACCAGGAAGGTAGTGGTACCGCCCCCCCAAACATAATTTTTCAGAAAATAATATATTCTGAGCTGAACCTTCAGTTGGAAAGCCCGCCCTTAAGAGAGAGACCGTCTTGGTCTGTTGGCTTGTGGTTTGATTGTATAATAATGATGATACAATGCTAATGACGACGATGACACTGCCTTTTATTTTTACCCCACTGCTGATAAAGCGTAGCCACAGCTGGCGATAAAGCCCTTGAAAAATTGATGTATGAGGAGCATATACCATTGTTTTCTGAGTTGTGCGTTTTTTCTAAGATATGCTTTTTAGAATTAAAATTTGACAATATGTAGCGCCCCCCCATCTATCTCTCTTTAGTCCTTTATAGCCAGTGCTAGTAAAATGGGGATTGGACTAATGAAAACCTAAACACTTTTACCTGGGTATAGTACCATGTGTTAAGTCATCCTTTCCTTTGAATTTCTCAACAGTTTTTAAAATGAAGAAGTTTAATTTCCGAAAAGTTTTGGATGGCTTAACTGCGTCCTCCCCTGGCAGTGGTAGCAGCAGTGGCAGTAACAGTGGTGGTGGGACTGGAAGTGGTTCCATGCATTCAGGAGGGACTGCAGGGGTTCTCAGAGAAGAGATACAGGAAACCCTGACTTCAGAGTATTTCCAGATCTGCAAGGTAAGTTTTGAATTGGTTTAAAACCTATTTTTAAAAATTTTTTAATTTTACTGTTACGAGGAAAGAAGTGTACACACACACACACACACACACACACACACACACACTCAGGACTGGAAATTGTTGAGATGCCAGCATCAGAGAGTCAGGTGTAGATAGAGAACTCTGTGGATAGGTCAGTTTGAATTAATAAAGATATACCAGCATCAACTTAAAAAGCAATGGTAGTTTAAGGGAGAAATAAGCAAACATAAAAAGTGGAATTTGCAAATAATGTTAAGGCTCAATAGTAAAGAAAATTTTTAATGTAATATTTATGTATAAGTTGTAAATTGAAGGAGAAAAATCGTCATTCTGGTTAATCCTATGATGTCATTCAGTTAAAGTAAGTGTTATTTTATTTCACTGTTCAGCTATTAAGATGGTGTTAGAAACAGGTAGGTAACATGTAGTTGAATACATCCATTTTAAAAGAACTAATGGCATTGTTTTAAAATTATTGTTTAAATTCTGGATAAAAACAGTTCCAGAGTCTTAAACTCTAAACAAACAAATGCCATGAACTTAATAATAAGAACTTTTAATGCTCATAAGAACTCAAAAGTAGTGTTCTGATTTAGTTGGGAAACATTTTAGGTAACTATAATGTTGAATTTCTAATGAGCATTTCTGAAGGGGAGAGGTGAGAGCTTACAAAATAAGTATGTTACTATATAGAGGTGTTGTTACATTTTCTGAAATAGTGATTTGTAATTTTTATTGCCCTTTTTTATGGTGTCCTAGGAATGTGCTTTTGACCTGGCATGTGTAATAAAAAGGCTATTAAGTCATTCATATGATATAGATAAATATACTTGCTATACATACTATATAGATAAAAAATGACTTATAAATATATTTATAAAAATATATTTATTGTGTTCAAATGCATAAGAAGAAACAGTAAATTTTTGAAATTACAGAAATTAAGTATTAAATTTTTTCACACTTCAACAAGTTTTTTTAATTATTAAAATTAGTTTTGTAGTAAACAAATTATGTATAATAAAGTAAGTTTCAATTACTGTATTAGTCTCCATTCCCAGTAGCATTATTATAAAACATTAACTTTGTGGTTATTAAAATGTTGTAAATTAGTTTACATGAAACTGAGTTTATTTATAATTAGATTACATAAATAGATTTAATTATAACCTACCTTGTGAGCTTTGTATACAATACCATTTTGAATAAAAATATTATACAGTTTTTGTCCTCAATTTGAAATAATAGATATTTTGTCTATTATTGATGAAGGAGAGATTAAATAGTAGTCATAAGATAAATATGAAAAAGGGTCATAGAGATCAAATTTGCACTGCTAGGCAAAGGAGTTATGCCCTGATTCTCTAATCTTTGATGTATTACTATTTCATTTCAAGATTTGAAAAAATTTCCAAATTCTCTCAGTTCATGAATGTGGTAGTGATGGAAGAGAGTTTTAGCAGATGTAAAATTGGCATAGAAAAAAGTAGACTTCTGAAACCAAGTGACATTGAGCTGTTGAGGTTATAAAGCTGATAGAGAAGGTTTTAAATAAAAATATTCAGAAGAAATGAGTGAATGCAAGAGAGGAAAATGGGATTATAGTCATCCTATTTATTCAGACAAGAGATAGTCATGGTGTAGTAGGAAGAGCAATGGCTTTGGAATCAGAAAATGTGTATTTTATTTACAACTCTGCCATTTGCCAGCCATATAATCTTGGCAAAGACCTTTATCTGCCTTGAGCCTAGATTTTCACATCTGTAGTATGGTAATAAGTACTTCTGCCCTTCTTTCCTAAGAAGGTTATCAAGAAGATGAAACAAGGCAATTAGTTGAAGGCAATGTATAAATTGGAAAAGGCAATAAAATGTATATTTATATTATTGCAAAAGTTTCAAAATCATCTTGTTCTTGGTGGAATGACTACCACCAATGGGTTATAATAACATTAGGTAACAATTTTCAAAGAAATTAAGGGGATAACTATATAAGCAGAACACTAGTAGTATTGAAATCTTATTAAATGGGGGAAGTACTATGGCATCTCTGGATAGGAATATAGTTAATTTTAATAAGTGGTTATATGATTGTGCTTTACATTACCCAAACTATAATAAAATATACAAAAATGGATGAAGAAAATTCCAAAATTAGAACTGTTACTAAAATGGGGACTTTTTTTGTACTCACTGATTAAATGTGCAAAGAACATTCTATTCTGAGTACTGAGAAGCTGGCACCTTCTGGATACTTGTACCTTTTCAACATGGTCAAAATTAAAGTATAAATCTACAATCTGTTTTTTTGAAAACCATCCTTCTTTCTATTATCTGAAGAGTTATGAAGTTCCATCTATTTCATTTTGCCATCTCTGCTACTTGTCATTTCATCATATTTTCTTGCCTGGTCTCTTGAAATCACCTCCTAACTGATCTTCTCACCTCTCATTTCACCCTAGTCCAATTGATTTTTGTTATTATAACTATTATTTCTGAATTATAATGTTAATTATGTCATTTCCCTGATAAAAAATTCTTTTTCAGTCTTTCTAGACCAATGATGCTCCACAAGTAAATCTAATGTGAAACTCCAGTAAATAACATTTATTAAATAAATGTGGTAGTTAATTGGCATATATTTTAAAGTAAATAATAAATTATATCATCTCTATAGGTATATACTTATTATGTTATTATTATTATTGGTTCTTGTGTAATATTATCCACAGGTAGGTAGTAGGACATTTGCTAGCTTTAAAAAAGTTAATGTATAAGGCTACTGCTGTTATAATCAGTGATACATCTATAAGAAGTTAAAAAAACAGAAATGGTAGATGAAATTTTGGTTCAAGGTCAGCAAAAAAACCCCAAACAGGTTAATGCATTGGTTTACTGCAATCTGTTTTAAGTTTAGTATATATGCATTTAAATGTCCTTGTGAAATGCATGAAATGCCTTTTATGAATTTGAATTCTATGAAACAATTTGAAATTACTGCTTTATACAATAAACTTCAAAGTACTTAACTTCATCTGTATGTAGTTCTGTTCAGAAATGCATACAGATGAAGTTTACCTTTCCATCCTCATTTCTGTGATTCCCTAAGCATATTGTTTTCCCAAGCATATTGTTTTCCCTGAAAGCACCAAACTTTCTCATATCCCAATGCCTTTTCTCAGTGTGTTGCTTCTGTCTAGTATATGTCTTCCGCTTTAGTATAATTGGAGAATTCCCAGCTACCCTTTACATCAAAGTTCAAACACCACCTTTATGAAACCATCTGAGACCAGCTTTCCTTACCTACCTGCCCATGCAGAGTTTATTTCCCCTTCCCTGTTTTCCTGTATCACCTGGCATATACCTGTAGAGTGAATTTAGCACCTTGTTATGATTAAAAATATTATTGCTGTTACTGTTCTTATACTATGAACTCTTTGAGAGGCAAATATACTTTGTTTCCTTATCACTGATAGGTGCTCATTACCTAACAAGCTAGTGGTTCTCAACTGTCTGTCCAAAAGAAAGATTCCTACCTCCACCTTTGTGTTAGAGAATCAAAATCTCTAGGGATGGGGCCTAGGCACTTGCATTATTTAAAGAGGCCTCACAGAAGGTTCTGATGTAAAGTCAGTATTGAGAACCATTATATAAGACACTTAATATACTGTATGAATGAAGCAGCATGGTTGGTTGCTTAATTTATATGGTTGCTTAATTAATATGCATGGCTCATTGATTAATTTAAAATAAATTAATGCAGATGATAATTAATAACTATATACAATAGACATATATACATTCATTCCTATAGTTAACTGACCCATACTTAATTAGGCTGGGAGCATGCAAATGTGAGTATTGTAGCTAGAAAGTTCCATCAGTATCGATCTATGTTTTACAAAGAGAATGGTGTTTTTCTTAATCTAGCAAATTGATTAAATTAAAATTACAGAGCTTAATCTGTTAGATAGCTCATTTGCCCTTCATAACAATCCTATAAGGAAGGTAAGGAAACTGTTAATATTTTTATTTTACTGATAAGACATCTGAGGCCAGAGAATTAAAGTGATATCCTTAGGTCTCCGAGTTAGTTGGTAAGAAACATAGCTAAGTTTAACATACTATTCTTTGATTCTCAAATCCATTACTTTTTTTTACTTCATCTTTGTTATTTAACAAGGCAACATGGTAAATTCCTCAGTAAACATAGAAACTATGAGAAAACAAGACTATTTTATTGACTCTTCTTTCAAAATACATCCAAACAGAACCATATCTTTTCCACCACATCTCTTACCTAGACTACTACTTGTAAGTATTTTCCCTGCTTTCTTTTCACTCAGGCCACACCGCAGCCTCATCTCATAATAGACAGAATAATCCTTTTAGAATTTACATCATATCATGCAATGTTTGCTCAGAACTCTCATGGCTTTTCGTTTCTCTTAAAAATAAGTCCTATTGTGCCTTCTAAAACTCTTAAGATTTGGCTACTGACAAGACATAATTTTTTACTTTTCCTGTTACTTACTCTACCAACTACATTACTACTTCTCAGACATGATTCCTGCCTCAAGGCTTTTGTATTTGCTCTTTCCTTTATATGGAACACTCCTCCTCCCACCCCATGATTATATTACTTGTTCCCTTTGCATCATTCAGTTCTTTTTATTTTTAAGATTTTATTTATTTTTAGAGAGAGGGGAAAGGAGAAAGAGGAGAGAAACGCCGATGTGAGAGAGAAACATCTATGAGTTGCCTCTCATTGGCCCCCAGCCAGGGATCTGGCCTGCAACCCCGGGCATGTGCTCCAACCAAGAATCAACCAGAGAACTTTCGGTTTGCAAGATGACGCCTAACCCACCGAGCCACACCAGTCAGGGTGTCATTCAGTTTTTTATTCAGTTGTTAACCTCAGAAAGATCTTTATTGACCGCTGTTCACTCCCTTTATTCTCAACCCTCATCCTGATTA